TGAGTGAGGAGGAAGAGGTGGTGTGAGGTGACGGAGGGAGGCAAAGTGAGTGAGGTGAGGACCAGAGTTGCGTACACAGGGAGTCTCATCTGTGGCTCACCTTACTCACTATCAAGGCTCCTGTAGTTTAAATCCTGGTGGCCAGAGGGCGGACAGTAGGCCGTGGTTGGAAGGTTCGGTTTAAGATTGATAATAATGAAGCAGGTTACCGGATTATTGTGGGTGACTGTACATCAACTTCTTTACCGATACTTTTGATGTTATGATTATTAGGACACGTGAGGTGAGGTGAGGTTAGGGGAGGTGAGGTAAGGCGAGGTGAGGTAAGGCGAGGTGAGGTGAGGTTAGGCGAGGTGAGTTGAGGTTATGTCGTCTGAGGTGAGGTGAGGTTATGCTGTGGTTGGTGACGTGAGGTGAGTTAAGGTGACATAAGGTTGTCGCAGGTGAGGTGAGGTTGTGTTATAAGAACATAAGAAAATAGGAGTCTGCAATAGGCCGGTTGGCCTGTGCATGGCAGCTCCTGTCGAGAGTTACTACCACTCTCTATCATCCATAAGAACATAAGAATGGAGGAAACTGCAGAGGGCCTATTGGCCCATACTGGGCAGTCCCGTTTACACCCAACCCCTATTGCTCATATAAGCATCCAACCTATGTTTGAAGCTATTCAGCGTATTCGAGTTAATGATGATATTTAGTAACTTGTTCCATTCATCCACTACTCTGTTTCCAAACCAGTGTTTACCTATTTCGCGCCTAAATCTAAATTTGTCTAATTTAAAACCAATGTTACGAGTTCGCTCCTGGTTGGATAGGTTGAGTACCTTTGTAATGTCTCCTTTGTTTAGCCCCGACTACCATTTATACACCTCTATCAGGTCGCCCCTCGCTCTACGTCTCTCGAGGGAGTACAAATTAAGATGCTTTAACCTGTCTCTGTACTCAAGGTTCCTAATGCCCGGGATTAGTCTTGTCATTCTCCTCTGAATTCTTTCCAAGGATTCTATATCCATTCTGTAATACGGTAACCAGAACTGAACTGCGTAATCCAGGTGTGGTCTCACAAGCGCAAGATGAACCTCACTAGTCTTGTAACTAACACTCCTTTGTATGAACCCAAGTACTTTATTAGCCTTGTTACGAGCAAAAACACATTGTTTACTCCTAAATTTCTCTCGCAGTCGGATTTCTCTATGGCATCCTTGTTCATCTGGTATCCCTGTTTACATCTCCTATACTGAGTACTTTACATTTGTCCACGTTGAATTTCATCTGCCATTTTTCAGACCATTCGAAAATTTTTTTTAGGTCTTCCTGCAGTTTTGCGGAGTCCTTGTCAGATTTAATAACACGTCGTATTTTAGTGTTATCACCAAATTTACTTATGTTGCTGTCTATGCTGATATCTATGTCGTTTATGTATATAATAAATAATAATGGTCCAAGTACAGAGCCTTGGGAACTCCACTAGTGACGTTGCTCCAATGGGACTTAGTGCCGTTAATGCTCACTCGCTGTTTCCTGTCCTGTAACCACGCCCTAATCCATTTAAGGATATTACCTTTGCTGCCATGTGCTTCTACCTTTCTAATTAGTCTTTCATGGGGGACTCTGTCGAAGGCTTTGCTAAAGTCGAGATATACCACATCATAATTGTGCCCCTCGTCCACCGATTCGAAAACTGATGAAAAGAATGTTAATAGATTAGTTAGACAAGAACGCCCGCTTGTGAAGCCATGCTGGGAATCATTGATCAACTTGTGCTTCTCCAGGTGGTTTCGAATAGAGTTTGAAATGATTGATTCTAGTAATTTGCCTATTATTGATGTTAGGCTGATTGGGCTGTAGTTAGAGGATAGTGATCTATCCCCCTTCTTGAAAATCGGTATTACATTCGCTATCCTCCAGGATTCTGGTACTACACCTGTTTTTAAGGACATGTTAAACAACTTTGTTAAAGGCATACTAAGCTCTTCCTTACATTCCTTTAATACTCTGGCAAATATCTCATCGGGACCAGGTGACTTATTAGGCTTTAGTTTGTCTATTTGCTTACTAACATCGTTACTAGTCACTAATATCTCGCTTAATTTGTTTTCTTCACTATCTCTGAATAGAGTCGGTGCCTTGGGTATCATGTTTAAATTTTCAGTGGTGAAAACTGTTGAAAAATATTTATTCAAATTATTGCTCATTTCTCCGTCGTTGTCAGTGAGCTAGCCGGTATCTGACCGTATTGGTCCAATCTTTTCTCGTGTTTTATTTTGATACATTTGGTAGAATCCTTTGGGGTTTGTCTTCGCCTCCCTTGCTATCCTTACCTCATTATTCCTCTTGGCTTTCCTTATCTCGGTTTTAACCCTACTCGCCAATACCTTATAATAATCCTGGAAGTAAATTTCGCCACGATTTATCCTTCTACCTATAGCCTTCCTTTGGCCAATGATGTTCTTTAAATAATTATTTATCCATTTAGGGTCATTGTTGTCTGATCTGAGTTTTTTGTATGGTATGTTCTGCCTTTGTGCATTAAGTAACTCATTAATTAAATTGTCGTGGAACTCGGCAATCTCAGATCTCGTTATCAGGTCGGTGTCATCTGTCAGCTTCACACCCAAGCGCGACACCCCTTCTCTCAGCTGCCTCTTTAAACTGTCAAAGTTTGCCTTTCTGAAATCTGGTACTTAAGTGGAATTTTCCTTACGTCTAGCCTCCTTTTGAAACTTTCCAGCGTTCCAGCACTTACTACAAAGTTGCTAAGCTTGTTCCACTCGTCCACCACCCTATTTGTGAACCAGTTCCTTCCTATCTCCCTCCTAAACCTAAACTTATCCAACTTAAATCCGTTGCTCTGAGTCCTATCCTGCTCGGATATTATAAGAACTGTATCTATATCCCCTTTATTGATTCCTTTCACCCACTTAAATACTTCTATCATATCTCCCCGCACTCTTCGTCTTTCTAGGGAGTGCAAGTTAAGTTTCTTTAACCTATCCTGATATGGAAGGTTTCTAAGTCCCGGAATCATTTTCGTCATTCTTCGCTGCACCGACTCTAGTGAATTGATATCCATTCTATAATAAGGGCACCAGAACTGAACTGCATAATCGAGGTGCGACCTGACTAGCGCAAGATATAGTTGCAATAAGACCTCTGCAGTCTTATTGCTTACACTTCTAGATATAAAACCCAATACTCTGTTTGCCTTATTTCGAACATTAACGCACTGTTTTCTAGGCCGTAGGTCCGGGCTTACAAGTGCCCCTAGGTCTCTTTCACAAGTCGACTTCTCTAGGTTGATGTTGTTAAGGCTGTATACATTGTCAGTATTTGTTCTTCCAATATTAAGTACGCTGCACTTGCTGGTGTTGAATTTCATTTGCCATTTTTCAGACCACCCCTGCAGTTTATTTAGATCCTCCTGTAATGTATTTGCATCTTGCCCTGAATTAATCTGCCGCCCTATTTTGGTGTCATCCGCAAACTTGCTTATGTCACTGCTGATCCCAGTATCTAGATCGTTCATGTAGATTATGAGCAAGAGTGGGCCTAGTACTGACCCCTGGGGAACCCCACTGGTTACACCGCCCCACTCAGATTTAACACCATCTACGCTGACCCTCTGCGTTCTATCGGTGAGCCGTGATTTTGTCCAATTTAAAACTTTCCCCTTGATACCATGAGCCTTAATTTTTCTCAGAAGCCTCTGATGCGGTACTCTGTCAAATGCTTTGCTAAAGTCTAAGTAAATAAGTAGATGAGGTGAGGTTGTGTTGTCTTAGGTGAGTTGAGGTGATGTTGTCTTAAGTGAGGTTATGTTGTTTTAGGTGAGGTGAAGTTATGTTGTGTTAGGTGAGGTGATGTTGTCTTAGGTGAGACATGGATGGTGTTGTGGGGAGGGGCTGGGTATGGGCAGGGGTGGTGGTGTGGGCACGGGCTGGGTATGGGCGGTGTTGTAGAGAGGGGCAGGGGTGGTGTTGTGGGCTGGGAAAGGGAGGGCTTTATCACATTGGTAACCCGCTTCTCACAGCTAGGTTTCACCAGCCTTTGTGACGCTAATTGGTAATATTTTTACGTCATTTTCTGATGATCGCGTAAATTTTCGACTCGTTTCTAGGAATAAATCCAAACCAGTCCGGACGCGTGACTGTTCGGTGGCAAGAGTCTCCTGGCTATGTTTCTACTCTTAAGTTAACATAATGTCGTCGTGTGGCGAGTTCATATTCTGTTTATCAGCCAGAACTACTGGATCAAGCTCCTATATGGCTCGGTCCCTGGGAGGAAAAGTAGAAGAAACATATTTGGCTGTCCACAATAAAGTTACACTGTTGACCCTTCTGCCAAGACTGTTGATATGAACGTGCTATTACTACTCTTCTCTACAGTGGTAGTATGTGGCATGCTTGACGAAAATAAACGCTGTAGTGTTAATGATCTACGGTAGACAGTTGTTTCATGCTACAGGTCAACGGTCGCGTCGCCTGTATTGAAAATATTTTTTTTTTGTGGGAGAAAGGAGTTGAGCACACTTTTTGAGCTACATAATCCAGACCACAGAATTGTCTTAAGAAATTAACTTGATGATGGTACATTTTTGACACATTTTCCTACTAAAACTTACACACACACATATACACACACACAGCATATATATACAGGGTGTCCCATCAGTTTCCATACAACGTATCACCAACGCCATTACAAGCATAACTCCAGCTGTGCTTGAACGTGTTCTTCAGCAGTGGAGGACACGCATTGAAGAGTGTTTTCAACAGAATGGTAGTCATGTAGAGCATATTATATAAATAAAAATGGATTTTCATATAAAATTTATTTTTCCTATGTATGGAAATTTATGGGACACCCTGTATATATATATATAAATAAATAAATATATATATATATATATATATATATATATATATATATATATATATATATATATATATATATATATATATATATATATTTATATATATATATATATATTCAAGGCATGTTTCAACAATTTATTTCATTTGAAAGTAATAACCACAATATAATACTTGATGTAATATTGAAAAATTTCTTAGTTAACTAATGACAGTTAGATAACTTTTATAGGCAATGAAAAAAATATATACTATATTATGAGAACAAGATGTGTAGACAAAGGGTGCGAGAGCACATCAGGGTAGGAGGCTGGTGCTACACGTCTCAACACTAACGATCTCTACTAACTTCCACAAAATACATATTGTCAGCGTATATCAGAGGAACTGAAATATCAGAATGTCAGGTATCGAACCTCGTAATGACAAGTGCTGGTGGCTGAGTGGTTAATGCCTTGAGCTGACGCTAGTTAGTACTGGGTTTGAATCCACACAAGACTGGGTTGGCGGGCCACTGAACAGCTGTGGAGTGATGGGCAGGCGTGATCAATTATCTCTTGTAATGATGCTGATTATGATCATTAGCACGGCGAGTTAACAAACACACAAATGTCATTAATCCTATTTTCTTTACTAAACAATAAACCAACTCAATTATTAATGATTAATAGGTACTTAACTTAATAAGGGGACTAAGTGATAGCTTAAAGGGCTGGATCATATTGTACTGTAGGACTGTCACAGCTCGTACTGCCCACCACTGCTATAGTATCCCGTGTGAGGACTCGAGCCCAGTAGTAACGACTGCTGGTGACGGAGGTTTTCGCTTGGAATTGACTTTTGTTTGAACTGGATTCGAGCAAGTGCCTGATATTGGAATATTTCAATAACTTTCACAAGTTTGGAGGTGAGTGACCTCACCGGTACTGGAAACACAATACTTGGGTACCTTCGAGTGTGTGTGTCATGACCTGTAAGGGTGTCTATCACAAGGTGTTGATTGTTCACTTCACTTAATTTCTACAATACTTGACACACGATGAAGTTTTGTAAAATGTGAGAATAAGTTTATTAAAACAAAGGCTAGACTCTAAATGTTGGCTTCCTTGGTTAACAATATTCTATGTTATCACAATTACATCTTTATTTTACATTATGTACAAACAGACACACACAACTTCATATATTATATATGTATAATATGTATCACTTTGGCTTAAGGGATCCATACAAAAAGTGAACCCTATTATAAAGTGGTCACGCAGTGACTAAAGTGTTTTATAAAAAGTTTAAGGAGTTTCAGCAACTAGGTGTGGAAGATGTACTATGTTGGAGAAGTACCACGGGTCATTAATATTTTTCTTAAACGATAACCAACCAAACTTAACTAAATCTGACTTAAGGATCCTAGAATAGTTTTGGCTAGGTTTGATTGGTTTGTACAATACCTTCTGTCGTATGGGGGGATTAAATGGTAGCGCTGGTGGTAGCCTTACAACATTGTATATTTTGCACTAGGTAAAGCCTGGCTCACACGGCGCTTTCCCTTCTACCTGACGCGGGACTTTCTGGATCTTCTGGTATCCTGGCCAGGCCCGTGGTCACGCCCTGGGTAGGAGCGCCGTCACCCTTATACATATGGGGCACCGAGACGTGATCAGGAGCGGGCGCTGGGGGCGTCCCACTGTCACCTCCGCTCTCGGCAAAATGTACCTCGATGTCAGCGCCGCCACACACCTGGACCAGAACACCATAACTTATTACCTATGTGAGAGCAGTCTGACACACCACCAGACCCCAGGATCACGTACACACACACCACCAGACACCCAGGATCACGTACATACACACACCAGCAAACCCCAGGATCACGTACATACACACACCATCAGACTCCAGGATCACGTACACACATACACTACACAACACACCATAACCACTACACCACCACCCACTACACAACACACCATAACCACCACACCACCACCCACTACACAACACACCATAACCACTACACCACCACCCACTGCACAGCACTCCATTACCACCACCCACTACACAACTCACCACTACACCATAACCACTACACCACCACCCACTACACAACACACATAACCAGCACACCACCGCACACACAACACACCATAACCACCACCCACTACACAACACGCCATAACCACTACACCACCACCCACTACACAACACACCACTACACCACCATCCACTACACAACTCACCATAACCACTACACCACCACCCACTACACAGCACGCTATAACCACTACACCACCATCCACTACACAACACGCTATAACCACTACACCACCACCACCCACTACACAACACGCCATAACCACTACACCACCATCCACTAACAACACGCCATAACCACTACACCACCACCACCCACTCCACAACACGCCATAACCACTACGCCATAACCACCCACTACACAACACGCCATAACCACACTCCACCACCCACTACACAACACGCCATAACCACTACTCCACCACCCACTACACAACACGCCATAACCACTACTCCACCACCCACTACAACACGCTATAACCACTACTCCACCACCACTACACAACACGCCATAACCACTACTCCACCACCCACTACACAACATGCCATAACCACTACTCCACCACCCACTACACAACACGCCATAACCACTACTCCACCACCCACTATCTGGCGGAGTTCACCACTACCACATAACACAGTCTAGCGTAATATTATCGTCTGGGAAGGTGTGACTCACTCCCATTAGGTCTTATGTTGGCAATGGGACTCCATTAGCTTGATGTAACTCTCGGTATCTGGAGCTGAAGCAGTTAACACCTGAGTCTGGTGCTCAGTTAGTCACAGCCTTAAGCCACTGGTCGGGGACTTATATATATATATATATATATACTTTCAATATATATATATATATATATATATATTTAGTAGAATGTTGCATTTACCTAATTCTGATGACCTGTTGATCTGCCACAACTCAGCCTGTACCCAGCCTCACTCACCTCACCAGCCTGTACCTGTTGTAGCCTCACTCACCTCACTCACCCTGTACCAGTTGTAGCCTCACACACCCTCACGCAGACTGTACCAGTTGTAGACTCACACCCTCACTCAGCCTGTACCAGCTGTAGCCTCACACACCCTCACGCAGCCTGTACCAGTTGTAGACTCACACCCTCACTCAGCCTGTACCAGCTGTAGCCTCACACACCCTCACTCAGCCTGTACCAGTTGTAGCCTTACACACCCTCACGCAGACTGTACCAGTTGTAGACTCACACCCTCACTCAGCCTGTACCAGCTGTAGCCTCACACGCCCTCACGCAGCCTGTACCAGTTGTATGTGTAAGTGCGATAAGTGTGTACATTAACTTACCCTGGGAGCGGTGGAGTAGGCAGCCTGCGTGAGGTGAGCGTGTCTTAGGTCATGGGTGCCGTGACCGGAGAGCGGCAAGGTGTAGCTGTGTGGGGGCTGTGTTGAAGACTGCTGTTGCTGGCTGTGTTGACCGAGTGACGGAGAGTGCTGCTGATGGAGATGCTGTAGTGCTGGAGAGTGCTGCTGTTGACACTGCTGGAGGTTGTGATGGGACACCGGTTGTGGTGGGGACTGCTGGTGGGTGTGAGCGTGGTGCAACTGCTGTAGGTGGTGGTGCTGGGCAGTGTGACGGTGACCAGGCATGAAGGACAGCGCCCCTCCGGGCCGTATGCTCACGCTCACCTCATCACAGTCTGCAACATTATCATTATCTACCGTGAATAATATTATCCTTAATAATCCGTAGTCTATGGCAGTATGTTATTGAATACATTTTTACAAACATATACGAATTATAAAAGGACATGTGTGTGTGTGTGTGTGTGTGTGTCTCGTCACCAGAAGACGTCTCTGCGTGTGGGTCTGTTGGCTTGGGATTCACCCAACCGTTTCAATTTTTCGTGCCAGGATAAAATTCTTGTTAGCCCCCATTTAAAAATCATAAAATGAACGAAGTTTTATGAGCTAATTAGATTTTGTAGATATAAATGATGATAACAAGCGGCAATCACATGTGTTTACACCAGTAGGTATCACTGCCATGTTAGTTTATAAGGTAATAACGTGTGACTCACCGTGTAATGTTGTTTACAACCCATCGAATTTTGAATGTTTTCTGCGGTGATACGTTATAGTACATTATATAACACTCATGTGATAATTAAGAGCCAGCCACGGACCTGGAACACGTACCTCCACTGCAAGCAACAACATCAGGACTCTGGTCATCAGGAACATGCTGGCGAAGGTGCTGCTCCCTGTAACAGTCGTGCAGGTCGTCTACCGGGCTGTGGACCTCCTCACTATGACTCCCGTGACTCTTCTTTAATGACGGTTGATGCTGGTGCTCATGATATTGTTGTTTTGTTTTATGTTGCTGTGCATGTGATCTTTTCTCTTGTTTTCTTTGTTGTTTGTCACCGTTTTTATGGTTTCCTCGCTCGTGGGCCTGACGTCGTCTGGCTGCCGCGCTGCACTGAACCTGCCAACAAGAAATAAACACGTGTGTGAGGGTGTCATTAATTAAAGCTGGTGAGTCTTCATCAGTCATATCATTGTCCACCAATCTCCCGTCCCCCATTCCGTCTTTAGGTGCTGTGCGAAGCGCGTGCCCCAGGCATATGAATTCCGAAAGAGTATACTCAGTGGGAGATGCTTCTGGAGTGTCAGAAACTCTGTTAGCCAAGACGCACAATAATAACCAAAAATCAATAATATGAACAAAGCTCCTTTTTGCTAATGTTTTGTTCATGGCAGGATAGGAGGGTGTGTACACCACTACTTGCGTTATTTATATAACAGAAAATATCTCACATCAATCCTGCCTGGGAACACTATACCAAAGGCTAACGACCCGTCCACCACTCCCGCCTAGTTTATGGCGGACCATAACTACCATACACACACATTTATATATATATAAATATATATATATATATATATATATATATATATATATATATATATATATATATATATATATATATATATATATATATATATATATATATATATATCATCAGTACATATAGCACGTGGACTTCCATGTACAAACAATACCTCACTAGTTGGGAGTCGAACCCCCCTGCGAGTGAACTGGGATCGCTATTACCGCGCCAGGGTTTGTGTGTAATATAACAAAGCCTAGGTTTGTTTTTGTTGTTCTTGTGACGCGGTGGTAGCGATCCTTGTTCACACGCAGAGGTTCAGGGTTTGATTCCCGACAAGTGAGGTATTGTATATATATATATATATATATATATATATATATATAATCATTTTCGAACAATAAATAAGTAAACGAACGCTTATAAGAATTTACCGTAAAATAGAAAAAAAATTTAATATTTACAATATCACGTTTATTTCTTTCGGTCGTCAATATTTTATTGTTGTGTGGCCCCGTGGGGTGGCCCCGTCGGGTGGCCCCGTCGGGTGGCCCCGTGGGGTGGCCCCGTCGGGTGGCCCCGTGGGGTGGCCCCGTCGGGTGGCCCCGTAGGGTGGCCCCGTGGGGTGGGCCGGTAGGGTGGCACGGTAGGGTGACCCCCAAAAGTAAACCAAGTTACTGAGGTTTATGTACCACCCGACTCATAAGGTACAGCATGCGTGTACCACCCGACTCATGATGTAAGTATTAACTCCACATGTTGTACATAACCGTGCGTGAGAGGTCAGTGTTGCGGATCAATAGGGACACAAAGGCCGCCCTCCAGCAGTGTGTCTCCACCTGTCATTTGCGTCACGCTGCTCCGGTGGGTCAGGTATAAGACCCACTACCCACCACTCTCTCCCAGACTCCTTAAGAGATGAATCATTGTCAAGTAATTAAAATCAAATTAACAAATTGTGGTATCATTGTGTGCTGGTAAACCCTCTCCTTGTCATATCCTAACGCTATCCTAACCCATCCTAACATTATTAATTTTAAACCTAACCCTATCCCAACCTTATCCTTACCCATCCTAATTCAACCTAACCTAACCTAACCCAATAGAAGGCCACCCAAACCCATCCTGTCCTTAGCCTATCCTTACTCAACCTATCCTATCCCTTATTCACCTTAACCGATCCTAAACTAAACTATCCCGCCCTTATCCTATTCAAACCTAACCTAACCCCACATAGTCTACCTTAAACCCTCCTCCCCTAAATCATACACTTTGAGATTCACAAGAAGTCAGTTAGCAGGTCAGAAGGTGCGCCACACGCTTGTGAATGTTGGCGAGGCTGTACTGGCCACAACAACTCGTCCATCCGCCTGTCCGTCCGCCCGCCCGCCCGTCCGTCCGTCCGTCCACAACCAAGTATCCATAAGGTTCTGAATGTTGTCTTAGTATAGAGAGAGTACATGCTTGTTCTGCTCTATGCGAGGATGGCACCTAATGACACCTTAGCTGGCCTACGCTGTACACTGTAATATATGTTCACCGTAACGCTTGGAGGAGCATCACAGAAGGTGTCAATAATTTCGAGTTAGCCCGACTGCATAACGAGGCAGACAAGCGCCAACGCCGGAAAGACGCTGCAGCCGCCCGTCCCGCACTAGATGTAGCCTCCCACATGTGCAACATCTGTGATAGATCCTGCCGGTCCCGTTTCGGCCTCTTTAGTCACCTCAGAACTCACCTACCTAGGCGACATCCTTAATAACTCATATAATTGTATCATAGCTGGATGATCGTCATACTCGATACCGAGTGACAGCAAAGTAGTAGTAGTAATATGTTCACCCTCCAGTTACCACGAATGTGTTCACTGATTTGCCAAATTATTTGTGGAGTGAAGTGGAATTTGTTACGTAGCACCATAACATATCCCTTGGTCGAGCTCTGTTATCATCATTTTCCCATTATCATTCAGTGCAGTTGTGGATCGTGGCACGACTTCAGGTATTTGGTGAGGTCATGTATTTATAGATTGATTTACTGAATGTCTAATTTTCAAGGATGATAACAGTCAGACTGCCTCTCAGTCAAGGATGTGGCGGTGTTAGCTGACGAGGCAGCTCACCACACACTCACGTTGTTGTCTAAATCACTGTTGTTATATACCTGTAGTGACACCCATCTTAGAGTGGGTGTCAGGGTGTCTGTCAGGGAGCGTGTCGGGGTGAGTATCAGTGTGTCTATCAGGGAGGGTGTCAGGGAGTGTCAGGGTGGGTATCATGGAGGGTCAGTATCAGGGAGTGTACCTGTCAGGGTAGGCATCAGGGATTTTACATGAGTGTGACTTGCCTTATTGAACTATTGCATGTATATGGTGACTGCACTCGAGTGAAGAGCCTAGTCATATCGGGCTTGTTCTTATTTTGTCAATATTGTGAGTGTTTACCTTTTATCAACTAGCCTTAAGAGGACAGAGGCTTTCCACTCTGTCTGGTAAAAGTACACGCGAGTATGAACCACGGCTTTGCCCCCTTGTCGTGCTTTTGTTATACTCACTCACTCACTCAATCTGGTCAGAATGAGTCAATATTGAAACATTGTAAGCGCTTTGCATTAAACTCGCTCTGAGAATAGTTAATGTAGAGTTGGGTGCTCTCGTCAAAGAGTAATGTGTGGAGTGTTGCTGTTGTCGGTAGGAAGTGTATCGTCCGCTCAATACCTGAAGAAAGGCTTGGGATTGACGCTTAGTTCACATGAGGTCATCTTAGCTGTGTTCGATAACCTGTAGATGGGGCCATACATCATGGGCTACTTTTATTACTCTGTGTCAAACTTTCTTGTAAAAATCTCGAGAACTTATGCATGAAACTGAAAGAAATGAAGGTGGTGTTTGCTCGCGTATCATATTATGGTGATGTAATATCCGGTTTTCCTTTGGTGTCGTAATGCATCTTATCAGCGCCTGCCAGCGTGAGTGGTAACGCACCTCCGGAATATTGTCACTGCATTAACGAGAAATATTAGCCCTCTCACTCTCACAGTTACTCATCTGCTTCTGCCAGATAACATCCTCGCTAACTCCTGCTACTCTTCAATTACTTTCCACACAAGATATATAGTTATACAGTAACTTAACCTCCAGGCTATCCTAAGCAGGGTGTTCTTCAAGGTCTTTGCAGCGTGTGGGGTTTATGGAGGGAGGAGGAGGAGGAATTGAAATTTGAAGAACATTTTCTAAACTTCTTTATTGACACTGGCAACAATAGGGGACTTGTGTTGAGAGGGTGATCTAATCATACAGAATAATAATATACTAAACAGACAAAATTCTCTTCATTGTAGGTGGAAATAGAAAGCAAGTTGCTTGGGGTGGAAGAGTAGGGTAGCCATCATTAAATTAATTAACCACGATAAAGTTTAATCATTTAAGCGTGTTAGGGAACCATTACTGACGACACGTGAACTCAAAAACCTTCATGGGAAATTAATTGTGTTTACATTATGTTAGATTTAGGTGTTCTTAAACATGACTCGGTTATTCCTGGATGGGATTATAATGTTCAGTAATGGCTCCTTATACAACCATAGTCCGTAAAGAAAAACTGTCCTTATGAAGAGTGTCTTACCCTCAGGATGACGATGATGACGACAGCGATGACGGCGAGGACGAGGACGATCCCGGCAAGTACCCCAAGTAGTGGTGTCACCTCGACCGCCAGTGTGTCCTGCGTCACCCCTGGTGTGGGAGACAACAGTGGGTGAGTCTCTTATCTCCAGCCTCTCGCACTCAGCCTTTATTATCTTTTCCTCATCAGCCTAGATTGGTATTCGACAGCATACAATCTTACGAAATAGATCATTAGGTTTTAATTTGTCTTCTTACCCGATACACACATGCATTCTGTCTACAACACCTCTGGATTGTGTTAGAGAGTAAAGTGTTTCTGTGTTCTTGTTGATCTGTCTCGCACAATCATACTGGTCCTCAGCCCTAGTCTGGTGTGATCCTAGGCACATTACTTACCAGCACTGTCGCCGCTACTCAGTCGTGTCTCCAGCTGCTTTACGGGTAACTTGTGCGTGATGGCCACCAGGCGGGTAATGCCGCTACGACCCTTGGCATTCCCTGCGTACACGATCAGCTGAAACTCTGACTCATTGTCCAGACCAATCACCACGAACCTGTCAAGATAATAACAGTTGTGTCTTTTTACCTTATTATATGTGATATTAACTGTTAGTACCCCGGGTGGGGCGCGAAACTGCCTGCTCTACACACGGAGGTGTAAAAGTGAGCTGGTGGCCCACCAGCGGTACTGGTGTTTCACCAGGAACCCGTTCACCCCATCTCGTCTCTGTGTAACTGACGCACGCATTAAACACACGCGGCCCACCTCGGATACATCACCATCACCGAGCCGGGGTACACGCACACTTGTCGATCTTTGGATCTATTTGTCACACCCCGTGGCCGCGTCTGCCAAAACAATATTGATTAACATTAAAACAACTTTAATTGCTTGAATAAGAAGGTACTTTCATTAGTTCATAATGTACAGTTGCCAGCAAAAGTCCTCCCACAACTTGCTACACAGGGCTGTGGGAGAATAATCTTACCTCTATGGAGTCTGTGTTTACTTAAAATAACGTTGTTATGTGACACACTGATCAATGAGGAAGACTCTCTCTCTCTCTCTCTCTCTCTCTCTCTCTCTCTCTCTCTCTCTTTCTCTCTCTCTCTCTCTTTTTTCTATGCCCCCCCCCAAAAAAATGGTTAGTTTCCGTTGTTTAGTAACAAATAGTATTACTAATATTAACATGGTCGTTACCGCCAAACAAAGCCGTCATATGCACATATATCTGCCAGCAACACACTGCACCATCATTTAAATGCAGCCCGGTAATAATACATATTAAATGGCTTTATTAGAGCGTACAAACGGCACTAAATTTAGCAAATGTGCTTTCAAAAATCACTCATAATAAAATAGGATAAATTAAATTTCTTTGAACGAACGAAATGGACATCGATTGATTCTGGTCCAGACCATTGTGAATTAGCAAGGCAGAGAGATCGCAGTGCAGAGATACACAAATTTTCCCTCAATTTAGTTGTGATTTGTTTCTGGTATAAAACTATCCCAGTCATAATACTTCTTATCTCACCTTTGTGTTTACAGAAGCCAACATGTAGGTGACGTTCCCCAAATGTTGGCGTCATATCCCAAAATGTTGGCTTCATGTTCCCAAATGTTGGCTTTATGTCCCAAAGTGTTGGCTGTGTCCCAAAATGTTGGATTCATGTCCCAAAATGTTGGCTTCAAGTCTCAAAATGTTGGCTCCATGTCCCAAAGTGTTAGCTTCATGTCCCAAAATGTTGGCTTCATGTCCAAAAGTGTTGGCTTCACGTCCCAAAATGTTGCCTTTATGTCCCAAAATGTTGGCTTCATGTTCCAAAATGTTGGCTTCACGTCCCAAAATGTTGGTTTCACGTCCAAAAATGTTGGCTTCATGTCCTAAAATGTTGGCTTCACGTCCGAAAATGTTGGCTTCACGTCCCAAAATGTTGGCTTCCTTTCCCAAAATGTTGGCTTCCTTTCCCAAAATGTTGACTTCACGTCCCAAAATATTGGCTTCACGTCCCCAAATGTTGGCTTCATGTCCCCAAATCAAAGACATTATTAATATTGCCGGAAAACTCCAGACAAGACGAGGCGAGCTGAGTGACCACTGTATTACTGTATTTTGTTGTGTTCTATGGATCAAATTCATATTCATTATGAGTGAATTGGGTCTCAGACATGAATTCCAATTAGGGGCAGTTTGAATACACCACTGTGTTTACTAAGTCTTCGGTTGGCAAGGAGGCAGAGTGGCAAGCACGGTACTTGATCACCTTCAGTTCCCTGCTGGTAAAGTTAGGCGCCCACTTACGGTTAGATAGACTGGGCGTGTCTCGGGATATAAGTAGCCACTGTCAAGACAGGAGGCGAGTGCTGCATCACTGTCCGCTTCATTATGGTCAGGGGCGTTCCCCGTCGTGAATGAAGCGGCCGGTCACTACAAGACTGTAACTGAAACCATAACGTAATGTTACAGATGCTGATGAGTTCAGAGCAGAATGGAATTACTTAAACAATATCAATGGCAAAGACCAGAGCAGGTGGAGGAAGAACAGGCAGGTGAAGGAAAAACAAGTCAGTACATTTAAGAGTCATTCACTGCCACTATCGTTCATCCTCCCGCCTTCCCCTCAAAGGGTTAAAAGTTATGTAGAGATTAGTGAATTACTAAACTTTTTTTTCTTATTAATGAGAAACTGGCAGATGAATTCTGACAAGAAAACAATATATAATGACTCAAAGTTAAACTTCACACGAAAATAAATGGAAACAATTTTCTGGTTGTTTGTTTGTGACGCGAGTCTTGGCATTTATTTGATACAAAATTAATTACACAACATCCAAGACTAATGGCCACCTTTATGGTAAGTCCTGTCTGTCTTAATAAATCACCGATTAATTAGAGAGAAAAAATAAAATAATAATTATATATCTAGATTTTCAGTGACATAAGATTTATCATATTAGTGTGGCGTGGTAACTCAAGGCGTGGTAACTCAGGTGTGGCGTGATAACTCAGGTGTGGCGTGGTAACTCAAGGCGTGGTAACTCAGGTGTGGCGTGGTAACTCAGGTGTGGTGTGGTAACTCAAGGTGTGGTAACTCAGGTATGGCGTGGTAGCTCAAGGTGTGGTGGCGTGATACTCAGGTGTGGTGTGTAACTCAGATGGCGTGGTAACTCAAGGCGTGGTAACTCAGGTGTGGCGTAGTAACTCAAGGTGTGGTAACTCAGGTGTGGCGCAGTAACTCAAAGTGTGGTAACCAGGTGTGGCGTGATAACTCAAGACGTGGTAACTCAGGTGTAGCGTGGTAACTCAAGGCGTGATAACTCAGGTGTGGTGTGGTAACTCAGGTCTGGTGTGGTAACTCAGGTGTATCATGGTAACTCAGGCGTGGCATGGTAACTCAAGGTGTGGTAATTCAGGTGTGGCGTGGTAACTCAAGGTGTGGTAACCCAGGTGTGGCGTAGTAACTCAAAGCGTGGTAAACCAGGTGTGGCGTGGTTACTCACTTGGGTGGAGGAATTGTTTTTTCCCTCAATAGTTGGATAATGAGTTAACATTCCGGCAAATCATTTTAACTACATAATGGCGACTAGTTCAGAAAAATGTATTTAAGTTTCATGAAGAGTTTGTAGACCTATAATGTGTCAGAAAAAAAAGACTCGCTTTAAAATATTTAGTGGTTCATCTTCAACTCAACAGCGCCTTCATCACGAGTGGGTTAAGAGTTTCCAAATGTTTCCCCGGCGAGCATAATTATACGTGACGTAGATGGCATGTGTTAGTAGCTTGTCACCTTGAGGACTCGCTCTAGCTGCTTCTCACCAACGAAGGAGTTTGGATATAAAATTCAAGGTGATATGTCGTCTGCTTTCTGGTGTACAATATTTTCTAAAGAAGTGACGGAGATTAGATCTGTGTGGAGAGGCACTCACGGCCAAACTCTAGTCAAACATTTGTGTGTACATAAGATGCATTATGCTGGATTATCATGGGTGAAATATGAAACACAAAACGTTCAACGAAAGTTGGGAACATGGTTGACAAAAGAGGTGGAGAAGTCCCTCCCTCTCCCCTCCCTCCCCTCTCTAACCAGAGCAAGTTCAATCGGCCATAACTACAGGCAGAAAATAGTTATTATCTCTTTCGACTAGCATCTTGTGATATATCAAGTTGGGTTAGAATGCAGTGCCATTAATCTCAGTTATAGTCTTCACAACTCCCGGAGGCACTTAGAGAGATGACGTACATTCCTATGTTCCTTCTGAAACAACGGGAGACGTTACATATTATAAGCGCTGTTCTCTCTCCCTCTCTTCAGCTACAGTGACGGCCTGGGGGTACTCGACGCACTAGACCTCTCGTCCTGGAGTTGTCAACACGATAACTTTGAGAAGGAGCGATGGAATTTAATCAAATTTGGTACGTTAGTGTGTCATAACAAGACCCCGGGAGAGGTCGATAGTCAGTAACTTATGCCATTACTGTCCAGACGAACATTGTTGTGGGTAGCCAGAGACCTTTACTGGCAACCTCCATTACCATTCACATCCCGTATGGTGCCGCACCCCATGTTCAGTACACCTTGGAGGAAATGCTGACACTGTGACTCACTTGAGAGACCTAGGAGGACTCACCTGGGCACCTTGGACTGAACATGAGTCAAAGGGTGATGCGCAAACGTTAAATGCCGTGTCATGATGGTGTATTTTATTTTAGCAACACGGAAGAAAAAGTTGGATGCACACAACTCAGTCATGCTTGTGAAGTTATTTTGAGATGAGGCAGAGTGGAGGATCTTGGGCGGGGGGCTGAGACGTTTGCATAAGAACACACAGAGTTGTTTGTAACTGAAAGAAGACATTTAGTGTATAATGAGGAGTTAGTGTTATGTACGGCATTAAGTGAGTGGTAGAGGATAGATAAACCTTCCAGCACTACACACACACACACACACACACACACACACACACACACACACACAAGAGAATAATGTAAACAGACTAAGGAGAAAAAGCAACACAGAGGCAATTTTTCAATAAGGATCGGTCCCAAATTTTGTCAGATGGTTTGTAGATGTCGAGAGCTACTGCATGGGTTTCACCGCTGCAGTCTATTGATCGGTGGGGTGAATGGCAGAAGACCAACAGTAGAGCGTGGGCTGTGGAAGCTATACTGCTGATCCCTGAGTAAATGATAATTTTCTAGCAATATGATTATTAATTATTGTTTCGATGATTTTTGCTTATTTTTTGCGAGAGGAAAGTTAGTTTTTTATTATATATTGTTGGATTTATCATTCTTATTTAGAGTTGTATGAATGATGCAGATATCTTGGAGGACGAAGAGCGTGAAGAGATTAGACACACACCAGAGCTGGACCAGCTAAACGTGAATTAATTTACGTCTTTTGTTTTAATTTCAAAGAGCGAAACTCAAGGCACCTCCAGATCCACATTAGGAATTATCTGCTCCTCCTCTTGAAGAGTTGAGTTGGCGGCTGAGAAAGTAGGTTGGCCCCTTGAGAATCTGAGACCACTGAACAATAAGGTGAATTGACACGAAGAATGAATGGATGGCTACTGAAGCCTTAAAAACGGGTCAGAATACCTTACTATTGCCTGGGTAGTTTAGTAATGTGAATGAATTTTATGCATACAAATGATTTAGATAACGTATTAGTTGAATTAACGTGACCGCCTGTAGGTTAGTAGATACTGAGTGACTATACAGAGAATAAATTTTTGTAGTAAGATATTATTGGAATCTTTGGTTAGGACTTTCTTTATCCAGACCATGATGATATCAGTGATGTGTTCAGCAGTAAAAGAAAGTTCGCCGGAAAAGAAGGAAAACTAAAGTGATGAAAAAGAGATATCCCGGTACTCGCCCCAGTGTGTATGATCCTATCACTGAAACAATGGTCAAGAGAGCACAGTGGAGAGAACGCTCTGGCATATAAGAATTGGAATGGTTCGTTAAAAAAGTGATCAGTCAGATATGTTCTGTGTCGAGGAACACTGGGAATCCGTGTGGGAGTGTTGACCAGTTATGGAATATTAAGTGAGGTTACAAAGTGCTCCACCTCCACACCAGCTTGGTCAGTGTGGTCCGAATACGTCAACCATTGTGTCTTGTTGGTTTTGAAGTGACCAGACATCCTGAATTAGAGTGAGGGATGTTGTGTATGTTGTTAATTAGAGACTGATGATGGACGCAGGAGGTGACTATAAGTAAAAGTGCGGTGGTCTTGTGGATACAGCACTCGCCTCATATTCTAGGGGTCAATAATTCATACCTAGAACACTCACAATCAACGCAGCTGTGAATGGGTACCTGGCTTTAGTTGAGTAATTAATGACGGTCAAGTGTAGCTAGCACCAATTACGAATATTGAAATAACTGTCTGTATGGTATTACTGATGATTGATAGTATTACGGTGGTGGAAAGGTCCTTTGTATATTAATAATCGGGGGTGGTTAGCGAGGACAACACCAGCTAATGGGAGGAATAGGGCTCTACAGTAGGTCTCCCGGTACTTACTAGCAGAATTTTTAGCTCTCGACGGGTGGAAGAGGAGGGAAGGTGGCCCGGTGTAGTGAGGCAGACAGCAAAAGCCAGTAATTATCCAGGTATCTATGCTAAAGCCTCTCTAAGTTCCGACGGTTGTGCTGCCCTCCCTGGCTGCCTAGATACTGCCTGTAGCATATTACATGGTCACCTGGGAAGTAGTCTTGGCCTCGAGAATTATGAGGGCATCTTGATCTTAGACTCATATGCTTGGTCACCTGGTCACCTTGGATAATCACTTGGTCACTTGGATAACTCACCTGGTAATTTTGGATAGTTCAACTCGTCCCCTTGGATAGCTCACCTGGTTTCCTTGGATAGCTCACCTGGTCACCTTGGAGAGCTCACCTGGTCGCCTTGGATAGCTCACCTGGTAACCTTGGAGAGCTCACCTGGTCACTTTGGATAACTCACCTGGTTACCTTAAGATTCACCTGGGCATTTCGGTATCTAAGGGGACACACTTGATCACCTGAGATAATTATTACCTGAGTATCTTGGAGGTGGACTCGCCTTCTGACGGTGAAGTACATACCTTGGTAATTTGGATGTAATATTGGCCTTGAGAGTATGAGGGTTGGTGCCGTAGACCTCCATGGCGAAGGTCTGGTTAAGACCCCCGTCAAACCCAGGCTCACACTCCACCGTCAGGCTGTTGGCAGACACGTTGTGTAGTGAACAGTTGGTGGGCGACTCCGGCTGGGCTGTGGTAACAAGAGGGAGGCAAGGGAAAGAAGTGTGAGCATCTTGGTAATGTTTGTAATATTTCTCTCTCTCTCTCTCTCTCTCTCTCTCTCTCTCTCTCTCTCTCTCTCTCTCTCTCAGGTTTCATTTCATAATGGTAATAATAGTGGTAGATGATCAAACCATTATAATAGTAATAGTTGTGGTAGATGATCAAACCATTATAATAGTAGTAGTTGTGGTAGATGATCAAACCATTATAATAGTAATAGTTGTGGTAGATGATCAAACCATTATAATAGTAATAGTTGTGGTAGATGATCAAACCATTATAATAGTAATAGTTGTGGTAGATGATCAAACCATTATAATAGTTGTAGTTGTGGTAGATGGTCACAGACATTTACAACACATATTAACCTACTCACTGTATGGTATAGCAGATATACTTACTAGCTGGTATAATATGGAAGACACAAGGTACCGCCTGCCGGCCCACCATGTTCTCTGACGAACACAGCAAGGTACCGTAGTCGAGGTCTGACATCGGGGTGTATACCACTACGGTACGGCCTCCAAGGCTCTCTGTGAACCTCTCCCGCGGCACCTCCAGGCTCTCTGCGGTGTTGTTGAACGTCCAGAAGAACCTCGTTACCTACAGCACCCAAGAATTAAGGCGGTGAATAATGGTGAACTCTGATAAAAAGGGAAACTGTATTGTGTGTTGGACTGCGGGGAGGTAAACATGAGTGTCTGTCTTCTGAAAGGCAATAAAACTAACAAATTATCTATATGCAAGCCACTACCTAACACACCATGAATAACAACTAGAAAAACCTTTGTTGATAAGAGCTGTAAAATGTAGGCGGAGGGAGAGATTTGACAGGGCAAGAAATTTCATAAATAAGAGTTCAGGGAATAAAAGAAACGAATGATGGTAAATTTCAACGAAAGAAAACCTACACAGTATGAGAATACATTACTGTTGATGTGATACACTCATCACCACAACAACACAGGAGGTATAGTTCTCAGTGTGGTGGTGTTGCTGTGGTACACTCATCACCGCAACAACACAGGAGGTATAGTTCTCAGTGTGGTGGTGTTGCTGTGTATGCGGGTGTTTGGTGTTGAGGTATATATATATATATAGAGAGAGAGAGAGAGGGAGGGAGGGAGAGAGAGAGAGAGAGAGCAGGTGTGGGGGGTTGGCAGGTATATATAGCAGGTGGGGGGGTTGGCAGGTATATATAGCAGGTGTGGGGGGTTGGCAGGTATATATAGCAGTGTGGGGTTGGCAGGTACATATAGCAGGTGTGGGGGGTGGCATAAATTGCAGGTGTGGAGGTTTGGCAGGTATATATAGCGGGTGTGTGGGTGTTTACAGGTATTATAGCTGGTGTGTGGGGGTTGACGGGTATATAGCTGGTTTGTGGATGTTGGCAGGTATATATAGCGGGTGTGTGGGGGTTGACAGGTATATACAGTGGGTGTGTGGGTGGTGGCAGGTATATATAGCTGGTGTGTGGGGGTTGGCAAGTATATATAGCAGGTGTGTGAGGGGTTGGCAAGTATATATAGCAGGTGTGTGGGAGGTTGGGAGGTATATATACAGGTAACAGCGGTGGTAGAAATACTTACCTGAGGCACAGCGTCCACTTGGCACGTTACTTGGGCTTTTTCTAGTTTTGAGACGCCGTACACAGTCACCTGCCCGGGGCGACATAGTGGCACGTCTGTCAAAGGCGAAGTTCAGGTGTGGTTGGCTTACGGTCGGACTTACACGACATATATGGGCCTTAGTTATAATGAATAAATGAGAAGAGAAATTATCATGAAATATACACATAAGAGTGGAGGTAGACACTAGACAGTAATGGAGGTAAAGAGGTAGACAGTAATGGAGGTAGACACTAGACAGTAATGGAGGTAGACACTAGACAGTAATGGAGGTAGACACTAGACAGTAATGGAGGTAGACACTAGACAGTAATGGAGGTAGAGAGGTAGACAGTAGTGGAGGTAGAGAGGTAGACAGTAGTGGAGGTAGACAGTAGTGGAGGTAGAGAGGTAGACAGTAGTAGATGTAGACAGTAGTGGAGGTTGAGAGGTAGACACTAGACAGTAGACAGTGGAGGAGGTAGACACTAGACAGTAATGGAGGTAGAGAGGTAGACAGTAGTGGAGGTAGAGAGGTAGACAGTAGTAGATGTAGACAGTAGTGGAGGTTGAGAGGTAGACACTAGACAGTAATGGAGGTAGAGAGGTAGACAGTAGTGGAGGTAGAGAGGTAGACAGGAGTAGATGTAGACAGTAGTGGAGGTTGAGAGACACTAGACAGTAATGAAGGTAGAGAGGTAGACAGTAGTGGAGGTAGAGAGATAGACAGTAGTGGAGGTAGAGAGGTAGACAGTAGTAGAGGTAGAGAGGTAGACAGTAGTAGAGGTAAAGAGGTAGACAGTAGTAGATGTAGACAGTAGTGGAGGCAGAGAGGTAAACAGTAATAGAAGTAGTGAGGTAGACAGCAGTAGAGGTAGCCAGTAATGGAGGTAGAGAAGTAGACAGTAATAGAAGTAGTGAGGTAGACAGCAGTAGAGGTAGACAGTAATGGAGGTAGAGAGGCAGACAGTAATGGAGGTAGAGAGGTAGACAGTACAGGGGAGGCTTCCTTACACTGCACAGCTAAAGATATAGGCGGTGAGCTGGAATCGCCCTCCACGTTGCTAGCTTGACATGTATAATGCCCCGCGTGGCTTCTCGTCACCTCCTGCACCACCAGACTCCGGTTAGTAACGAGGACGCCTCCTTCTCGCTCATCTCTCACCACCACGCCCTGGCAAAAGCAACATCACCTCCCTGAGACATCCACTCGCGAAAATATGACCCTCAATTTGAACACGTATATTACCATTATACTCTTGACAAGACACGACCATCACCATACTCTCACAGACATGTAAACATATGTGTACTGTACGTGCGTGTATGTGGGAGAATGTTTGTATTGTAGAGGTATGTGAGTAATGGGTACTTACATTGTGCTTCCAGACAACCTTGTAAGCGGGTGGGTTGGCTTGCACCAAACACTCGAAATACACGTCATCACCCTCCCGGATGTTCTTAGGATTGATCGATGCTCCCAAAACGGCTCTAGCTGATGGCGCGTCTGTTGGAGGAAGAGGTCAGGACGGTGGTGATGATGGTGACGATGATAGTGATGATGGTGTTGGTGGTGATGGTGTTAGTGATGATGGTAATGGTGTTTGGTGGTGATGGTGTTAATGATGGTGGTGATGGTGTTAGTGATGATGGTAATGGTGTTTGGTGGTGATGGTGTTAATGATGGTGGTGATGGTGTTAGTGATGATGGTAATGGTGTTTGGCGGTGATGGTGTTAGTGATGGTGGTGATGGTGTTAGTGATGATGGTAATGGTGTTTGGCGGTGATGGTGTTAGTGATGATGGTGATGATGATATGATGATAGTGATAGTTGAGATGATGATGATGATGTTGATGATGATGGTGTTAGTGGTGGTATTAGTGATGGTGAAGATGGTGGCAATGATGGTGATGGTGACAGTGAGACCTCCCTGAAACTATTGATGGTGTTGTTATGGAAACAATTCCCGATATTTTATGTTATAATATTCACAACTTTTCTCATTCAGCTCTGCAACATGAAAGCGAAATCCGTAATGTATCGGTATTTTTGTTCATTTACGGCCCCTGACAATGGAACTTTCCTATTTAAGTTTACTGGGCGTTAAGACATTTATTGATAGTTTATGTGGGTATTGTGATGGTGGGTTATAGTAAACACTGTACTGTAGTGTAATAATAACGGAGGTCATGTTGGGGCACCATCCTCACTACCCACTCCCAGGTACTCCCACACCTCCACAACGTTCTACTTAAACTCGTAAGTAAGGACCTACACCTCCCATAAGTGTCTCCAGCCTCTCAGAAGTAAACAGTTTTACCACTTTTTATATAAACTGTTACTCCTTTGGCTCAGTTTAGAGTCTTAACATACCTAGTTTTATTTTACTAAATAACCTAACTTGGTATAATAGGAGCTACAGCCCACACTGTTGATATATATATATATATATATATATATATATATATATATATATATATATATATATATATATATATATATATATATATATATATATATATATATATGTGTGTGTGTGTGTGTGTGTGTGTGTGTGTGTGCGCGTGATTGTGTGTGTGTGCACACCTGATGTAACCTTCAGTAGATGTCAACACCTGGTAGTTTGTCTTGCCTACTGTAATATTAAGATGAGGCTTGCCTGCTGTTAACATTAGGCAATCTTCCACAATATGCGCATATCGTGTCGACCCCCAGGTTATGTTATATTAATATCACACAGTGTTCTGTACAGTGGTATGCATACACTGATGTACCATCATATCCGGTACAGCGGTATGTGTACCAGTTGTACCATTGTCTCCGGTACAGCGGTATGTGTACCAGTTGTACCATTATCTCCAGTACAGTGATAAGCATACATAGTTGTACCATCATCTCCAGCACAGTGATATGTACGAGTAAACACAGTATACCATCATACAGTATTCTCATAGAGTTCTCAACACTAAACTTTATCTGAATATTTCATCGCTATACGACTCAGATGTTGACCTAAGCCAAATGGGGTCGGCTCATAACCTTGTTGCTTATCAGACGGCCGTAATTCCTTTGGTAATGGCCGTAAACCCTTCAGTATCACCAGATTTAAGAGAAAATAAAGATCTCTAAATATGCATTAATTAAGACAATGGGACATAGGAAAGAGAAAATGATCCCTTACTGGAGAACCCCGGACGAAGTTGAAGGTGATGTGGTCTAGTCTACACCATTTGTTGGGTAAAAGTGTGGTTAATCTTCTCCTCCTCCTTATCCTCACCCTCTTCCTGTATCACTAACTCTTCCTCCTCCTCCTTATCCTCATCCTCTTCTTGTATCACTAACTCTTCCTCCTCCTCCTTATCCTCACCCTCTTCCTGTATCACTAACTCTTCCTCCTCCTCCTCCTTATCCTCATCCTCTTCCTGTATCACTAATTCTTCCTCCTCCTCCTTATCCTCATCCTCTTCTTGTATCACTAACTCTTCCTCCTCCTCCTTATCCTCATCCTCTTCTTGTATCACTAACTCTTCCTCCTCCTCCTTATCCTCATCCCTCTTCTTGTATCACTAACTCTTCCTCCTCCTCCTTATCCTCATCCTCTTCTTGTATCACTAACTCTTCCTCCTCCTCCCTTATCCTCACCCTCTTCTGTATCACTAACTCTTCCTCCTCCTCCTCCTTATCCTCATCCTCTTCCTGTATCACTAATTCTTCCTCCTCCTCCTTATCATCATCCTCTTCTTGTATCACTAACTCTTCCTCCTCCTCCTTATCCTCATCCTCTTCTTGTATCACTAACTCCTCCTCCTCCTCCTTATCCTCACCCTCTTCTTGTATCACTAACTCTTCCTCCTCCTCCTTATCCTCATCCTCTTCCTGTATCACTAACTCTTCCTCCTCCTCCTTATCCTCATCATCTTCCTGTATCACTAACTCTTCCTCCTCCTCCTTATCATCATCCTCTTCTTGTATCACTAACTCTTCCTCCTCCTCCTTATCCTCATCCTCTTCCTGTATCACTAACTCTTCCTCCTCCTCCTTATCCTCATCCTCTTCTTGTATCACTAACTCTTCCTCCTCCTCCTTATCCTCATCCTCTTCTTGTATCACTAACTCTTCCTCCTCCTCCTCCTTATCCTCACCCTCTTCTTGTATCACTAACTCTTCCTCCTCCTCCTTATCCTCATCCTCTTCCTGTATCACTAACTCTTCCTCCTCCTCCTTATCCTCATCCTCTTCTTGTATCACTAACTCTTCCTCCTCCTCCTTATCCTCATCCTCTATCACTAACTCTTTCTCCTCCTGCCTCACCAATTCCTTCTCCTCCTCCTCTTCCTTCTCCTGCATCAATAACAAATGCTGTGTATCTGTACGCCTCCTCAGCTCTCTCACTCCGCGTCTAGGTGCCACGCGAAGCTCGAACCCTAAGGATATGAATTCCATAAGGAAGATGCCTAGTGGTTGTTTCGTTTACTTGCTCTTCCAGACGACATATTTGACACAGTGTGAGCGAGGAAGTTCAAATTTGTAGATAATAATGACCGATTTTTTTATTAATTTTCTCCCTTTATGTTTATCTTTCTTGCTTGACTGTCCAGATAATGCCTCCGGCACTTCTGAGCTTGGTAGCTGAAGTGTGACAAATAAACCAACCATGAAGTTACTAACGCTCTTCTTTGGTGACCTGAACTGTGCAAATATTTCTCATATTAGTTCCTGGCATGGAGAGGGGAGGGGAGGGGAGGGGAGAGGAGGGGAAGAGAGGGGAGGTATACACAGAACGCGCCCCCTAGTTGTCATGGTACACTAACTAAATCACTTCATAGCCGTCATGGTATTCCCAACCAGTCATAAACAACAGATGATATATCAACGAAATCATACTAAGCTTTAGTGTTTCCTCTTAAAGCTGAACGTTCCACACACTCACAAGGTTCACCAGTAAGGCTCCATCTCTTCACGCTTCTCTCTATAAAAAAAAACTTTGAAATCGCTTCTTGGTGAAAGGGAGGGTGGAACATCACACCATTTTCTGTTGATCTGATGAGTATTTTGTGATGATAAATGATTATAGTTAAAGTATGAAGTCTGTAGATTGTCACACGTCAGATAGTGAAAACCTCTCTGGTATAACACTACATCTTACAGCATTCCAGATTATGATACTTTTAGTTAGTTTAGTTTAAGTAGGGATGGATTAGGTTAGCGTAAGTTATAATACGTTATATTGGGTTAAGGTAATTCAGTTTATATAGGGTTAGGTTAAGTAGGGTAAGGTTATTTAAGTTAGGTTTAAGTTAGGGTTAGGTTAGTTTAAACTCGGTTAAGTCAAGTTAGCTTAGTTGAAATATGGCTAAGTTAAGTGGGGTTGCGTTAGGTTGATTTCAGGTAACTTTGATATAAATGAAGTTAGGCCATTCTAAGTTATGATAGATTAAGTAGGGTTTGGTTAAGTTATTTTAAGTTAATATAGGTTAATTAGTGTTGGGTAAGGTTAGCATTAGTTAGGATAGGTTAAGAAGGGTTTGGTTAGAAGATGATATTGGTTGGGTTATAATACACTCAAGTTACCAGGTCACGTTAGGCTGAGGTGATCAATGGGACGCTACGTAACTTGTTGGCAACTCACAGTAAACGCTAAGTTTCCAGGTGTCCTCGATAACTGCTGTGGGCAGGTTGTGGTTCTCGGCCCGACAAGCCAGGAGCCTCCCATCATCAGAAGCATTGGGAGTGAGGCGAACCATGGAGCTGGATACGTTACCCCCGTGGGAGGTCTGTGAGAGAGAGAGAGAGAGAGAGAGAGAGAGAGAGAGAGAGAGAGAGAGAGAGAGAGAGAGAGAGATGCAATTAACAATACTTATCACTTCATAAAACTTGAACTAATAGTCCAAAAATACATACGATTATCTTTTTCTATCTATTTATCTTTACTCCCGTTCTATTATGCTATCCAAGGTGGTAGTGAGTGTAGTGGCTAGACAGGCTTATACTGTCTACCGCCGTAAACGTTATCTAACATTGAACAAAACGGTGAAGGTCGTTTACTGTAGTCCTTGAAATAAGTAAATTGTTGTCGTGTTTTGGACGAAATAGCTTCACTTAACCTCTAGCGTTACCCTTATACGAGCAGAGAGATACGCTCGATGACGTTGATCACTCTCAACGGTGAAAAATTTACCAGCGATCGATCTGAAGTGTGGAGGCTGGCGAGCGGGGAGTGGCCTTCTGTGATAAGCCTCCACAGTCTTCACCTTTGATCTTTTGAACATAACCATTATTATCCTTTCTACTTACCTTGGCAAGAGGACTTACAGACGAGGAGAGCAAACAGAAGGAACAGACAGGGGTAGAAAGACAAGACAGACAGGAGAACAGACATACACACAGTCGAACGAAAAAGATGAACAAACTTACCGACATACACACAACACAGATACAGTAAGGGAGGTACTCACAGTATCGTCAGCGGCAGGCACCCTGGACGACCCCCACCACCAGGTTAGGACAGCAGGTGGCCGGGAGCCCCTGGAGGAGCACAACACCTCGTAGGTCCTGGAAGCTGAGAGCGGCTCCCTGGGATGGTGGATGATCACGTCCAATGGCCGTACTGTTTGATACACCAAGGCAACTAACTGGTTTAGCTGACACATCATCGCCATCTCTTATGACCGAATTATGGGACTTAATCTTATTTTTCTCCCTCATTTTAATGACAAGTTAAAAACCCGAGTTATTCCCAAGGTTAAATTAAATGTTGACTAACCTAACCAATCCTAGCGTTAATTCAGCTTTAAATATGACTCGTGTATTTCCATAAAAAGCTTTTGTGGTTCATTAGTGCATTCAATAACCATCTGACCCTCAGTGCTTATACGAGTTGCAACCACCACGCAGATAAAAAAAAGCAACTGTAAAGATTTTATAGATTGAAGAGCTGAGAAGAGAGAAAAGGCTGAAATATTTAAAGGAAGAAACTTGGTGGTATATAGACTGAGGATTAAAGCGGGAGAGACTGAAGAAGAATGGGAGCAGAAGAATGCACGACTTAACGATGGGATGGAAGGTTGGCTGCTCTATTTAAGACGAGAAGTGAGAGTTTAAAGTACATAATAATGAATGAAGGCAAATCTTACGGCGTTGTGTTAAATTAGCGTCCATTTGACCAGTCACGTGGTAAAGTTAGGGCAGGTCAAGCCAAGTTAGAATAGCTTAAGTTAGATTAGTGGGTACGGTCTTGTTAGGCGCAAGTTAACCTAACCTAACCATGAAAATAGAAACCAATTCAGACTGGAGCCTAGTTGGGACTGGGACATAATTGGACTAAACTTTAAGGTAAATTAATGATCAGGTTAAATTAGGATGGAGATTACTTTAGATTATGATTGGTAAGGTTAGTTTAGGTTATGACATGTAAGGTCACTTTAGGTTATGACATGTAAGGTCACTTTAGGTCATGGCATGTAAGGTCACTTTAGATTATGACATGTAAGGTTAGTTTAGGTCATGGCATGTAAGGTCACTTTAGGTTATGACATGTAAGGTCACTTTAGATTATGACATGTAAGGTCACTTTAGGTTATGACATGTAAGGTCACTTTAGGTTATGACATGTAAGGTTACTTTAGGTTATGACATGTAAGGTTACTTTAGATTATGACATGTAAGGTCACTTTAGGTCATGGCATGTAAGGTCACTTTAGATTATGACATGTAAGGTTACTTTGGGTTATGACATGTAAGGTTACTTTGGGTTATGACATGTAAGGTTACTTTAGGTTATGGCATGTAAGGTTACTTTAGGTTATGGCATGTAAGGTCACTTTAGGTTATGACATGTAAGGTTACTTTAGGTTATGACATGTAAGGTCACTTTAGGTTATGACATGTAAGGTTACTTTAGGTTATGACATGTAAGGTTACTTTAGGTTATGGCATGTAAGGTCACTTTAGGTTATGACATGTAAGGTCACTTTAGATTATGACATGTAAGGTCACTTTAGGTTATGACATGCAAGGTCACTTTAGATTATGACATGTAAGGTTACTTTAGGTTGACACACGACTTGACTGTTCTCTTGGCTTATAAATTCCACAAATCACATGTAATGTCTACTTGTTCCTGGTACAGATTCGGTGTCTGGCCAGGAAACCCACTACTTTAATGATGACCTTTGCGATAGAGACGCGGAAGAGGTCGTGTGAATGTTATTTACTCCGTGCCCAAGGGAGTGATGACCATTATATCATTGCTCATTGTCTAATTAACTGGGCTGGTGCAGTATATACAGTATAATGTTAAATGTCGTAAGTTTACATTTATACACTTGTTATTGTCTATATATTTAACAGAGGCTAATACAGGTTAATTTTGGTTATTATATGTGATTCTATACTTTAGGGTATTATACGGTATTTAATATTACTTGAGGTTAAGTTAGATTGGATAAGAAACTAGGTAAGTCTAAGTTAGGTTAGGTTAGGAACTAGATGACTCAGGTTAGGCTAGGTTAGGTTATGCTGTTGATGTGACTCACAGTTCATGTCTATGGTAACGGTCGTTGATATCGCCGAAGACACCTGGTTGTTAGAGGCCCGGCAGGTAAGCTGGGCTCGAAGTAATGATCTTGTTACTCCACTCACCGTCAGGTCATTGCTTGTCTCATCAGCCTCCCGACTTTCTACATCATCATCAATCACCTGGTCGTTCAGTAGCCAGATAACAGATGGCGCTGGTCGACCTACACCACAGAAAGGGGAATTTTCTTCATAGCACCACAATGTTTTGCGGATCTCTTGAAGTTTATCAGCCTGTTTATTTCATCATGAGATTAACCATCCTAAAACTAACCTAACCCATCATACTTTCACCTAACCTAACCTATCATACCTTCACCTAACCTAACCTAACCTATCATACCTTCACCTAACCTAACCTAACTTCACAGGTAGCGTTAGAATGGTTAATCATCAGGTGAAATAAACTGGGGCTGATCTTTCGCTGATCCTATATTTTATTAATAGAAGCATAAAACGATCAAAAGGTTAAATTGCCTCTATAAACTGCTACAACAACATGTTATCACTAAAGCTCTAAGGCTGTGAACTTATTATAAATGTGGTAAATTTTCAGTAAAGGTTTGTGTTATGCAATAGACTGTGGCTATCTCAAACAGCATATGCATGACTCGACCACACAAACCGAGTACTGTATGTGTAAGCATTCTAGTGACATCTGGTTGAGTGTGGCTCGTGAAATATAACTCACAATATTTACAACTCTTACGTGTTTTGTGTTTAGGTCGTTTCCATGGTTACCAGTGACTGTGTTACCAGATGTATGGGAACTTCAAACTCCCTCAGTTTTTATGGGTAAGATTTATCACCTCACGCGCCACTCTCTACTTCAGCAAACATTGGTTACCATAATGGAGGTTAAATAATTCCTCTCTATGTTTATCTTCAACTATATTATCCTCTTTGATCCTATGTATTACAAGTACTATACAAAAATATACGTAATAAACCATTTAAAACTGTAAGCCTTTTAACGCATACACACACACGTCCACCCCTCCCTTCACGCCACTGCTTATAAATAGTTTAGAACTTTAGACATACGAGTACTATCGGAGTAATGTAATATAAACTTCTCATACAAGTTATCACGGTGTTGGCTATCATAATGTATATATGTTGTTATTCTCAAAGCGTGTGTGAATAAGGGTCACACTCACCACCATGGGCTAAACTTAACACCATGGGCTACACTTACCATCATGGGCTACACTCACCACCATGGGCTACACTCACCACCATGGGCTACACTCACCACCATGGGCTACACTCACCACCATGGGCTACACTCACCACCATGGGCCAAACTTATCACTATGGGTTACACTAGCTACCATGGGCTATACACCTACCACCATGGGCCACACAGGACAGGTGAAGATCGTTACCCTCGTTAATTGGACCCACATAATTTCGGACCTCTGCCCCGCTCTCCTCTACCAACACAAGTCGTCGCGGCGGTACTGTGGGAGATAATGGTGAGAGATAATGGTGAGGGAGACACTGGTGTTAATGGTGAGAGAGGTAATGGTGAGAGGTAATGGTGAGAGATAATGGTGAGGGAGGCAATGGTGTTAATGGTGAGAGAGGTAATGGTGAGAGGTAATGGTGAGAGATAATGGTCAGGGAGGCAATGATGTTAATGGTGAGAGATAATGGTGAGAGGAAATGGTGAGAGAATGGTGAGGGAGGCACTGGTGTTAATGGTGAGAGAGATAATGGTGAGAGGTAATGGTGAGAGATAATGGTGTAATGGTAAAGGAGATACTGGTGAGAGGTAATGGTGAGAGAGAATGATGAGGGAAACACTGGTGTTAATGGTGAGGGAGATAATGGTGAGAGATAATGGTGTTACTGGTAAAGGAGATAATGGTGAGAAGTAATGGTGAGAGATATTGGTGAGGGAGACAATGGTGTAAATGATAAGGGAGAAAATAGCGAGGGAGATAATGGTGAGTTATAATGGTGTGGGTAAGAGACAAGGTAGGATATAATGGTGCTAGTGGTGAGAGAAACAATGGCGCAAACAGAGAGACGAGTTACCTTCATAAACACACACAATCTCACCACCACTATGGTCATACACTATACGGAACATGCAACTCTCATGACTCCTTGTGGCGCAGACACACACACACACACACACGGGCGTACGGTGTATATTTATATAAAGTGTGAGTAGCTACAGTATGAGTGAGTGTATATGAGGGAAGTTTATAATATTTCTATACAATACGAGTAACTACAGCATCAGTGAGGGAAACTGACTCTGAAGTATGGACTGTTCCCCACGTCCCACACTCTTGAGTCAGCAGCCAATCAAATAACTTGAAATTGGCACTCCATCCACATCTCTGCCCAATCAGATTTAGTCTGCCCGGTATAGACTTGCACTGTAATCTCAGTGAACTTGTCACTGTTATCTTTGACAATATGAAGTTTTTCAGGATAACTTTCATTGCGGAAGTATTGGCTCTGTTGCTATTTAGGTGATAGATGAAAGCGTGGAAACGATTAACAGAATCTGATGTGTGGGGGCTGGAGAAGGGGTGTTGAATGTAGCGAGGGATCCCTTTATTGTGAGAGTGAGTCGCTTAGGGCTGGCTGTTGACTCTTTAGTGCAGCCAGGGCTTTACATTTCCAAATACACAGGGTTGTAATGAGGCCGGCACTACACCCGACCGCCTTCACTTCCCCAACTGTATATTAGGTAACCCATCACGGTTGAGAATACCGAGGTGGCCCGGGCTGGAATCACTGACCCTTAGGATAGGAAGTGATCGCTACATCCGCTTAGCCGCCTCACCCCGTATAATTCCGTTGAATAAAACATGTCTCTCTGAGTTGCATCGTTGCAGAAACTTAAGGTTGGTCAGTTGCTGTGCATCAGTTAGTGTTCTTTTCAATATTTACACAAAGAAGGTATTAAGAACAAAATACACGTCGTCATGTTTTACGTAAAGCGTAACAAATAGTAATTAGTTTAGCATAATGAAGCGAGAGTGAGTATGTTACCTGGAGGAATGTGTTATAGTACAGAGGGACACTTACCCACCTCCAATATTGTTGTTACTGTAGCATCTTCTTCAACAATTAACATAAAGGTAACAAGGCAATTATAACTCACGTCACTTTTCTCCCAAGTTATAATTGGACTATCAGGGAAGGTCTACTGCCCTGAACTTTGTCTACACACAAACCGGAAAGACCTTAATAGTTGTATCTTAAATGATAAATGATGGTGACAGTCTCGCTAGTCTCGCCTATTGTACATAACCCTTACTGTAAGTCCGCTGCTTATGTTCGTGTAGAGAGCGACATGGAGATCATGAAACAGCAAAACAATCCACGCACATACCTGAATGATTAACACACACACACACACACACATACATACATACATACATACATCCTACTATGATTCAGTTCACTATACCGACGACAGTGAGGTTGATGCGGGTGTTCCTGGTAGGCGCCCGCTGAAAGTCGACGCGACACTTGTAGAGGCCAGCATCTTCCCTTGAGAGACCCTGCAGTAGTAGATGGGAGGGAGCGGAGCCAGCGTTGAAGAAGGCTCGGGACCCCAACAGCTCAGCATCCCACCAGTGCTTAGGTTGTCCTCCCAGAAGCTCCCGCACGTCGTAACTGTCTTGTAACAACAATTATATAATGAGTACATATCCGCTGTCTTGTTTAAATTGGATTTTTATTTTATTTTTTAACAAAGACTGAATGGGATGTGAAGATAACCTTTACAAAACTTCTGAACATTAATCGTCAATGTTTTCTGCTGCGTGTACACACACACACACACACACAGTGGATCAGGTTCACCCTCGACTGGATCTCACTTGATAAAATCCATAACAATGGACAACTTTCAGAGAGACAGAATAAGTTAGGAAGTTTCATTCAATGGACTGGGAAGACTTATAAGAGAGAAGAGAGGAAGTTTTTAAAAGTGTAGGAACTATCAACCAACAGTGGACTGATACAGATTAATGACACTCCCTCTCTCACACAGTCTATCTATCTAGCTAACCATCCATCCATCCATACAGGGTGCCCCATAAGTTCGGTCTCACAGGAAAGTAGTGGAAATTAATGAAGACGTTAGATTACAAACTTAAAAAGATGTATATCACTAAAGCCAGTACATAAAGTATGTTATACAAGTATACAGTTTATATAGACAATGTAGGTATACAAACGATGAAGGTAAACAGTAAATGAATTGCACATGAAAGAAGAAAAAAGACCTGACTTATGGCACACCCTATATATGAAGGAACTGGGGCTAACTCATTGTGCTGTGAATATTAACACAAAACTGTCTAACATTATTAAATTTATTGTATTTAGTTATAATGAGGTGACAGAACTGTTTACCTACCCTTATGAGCAAGCCATTGGTGGGAGGAAGGTGAAACACGGGGAGACTGTACTGTAGTTACTAGCGAAACATCCAATAATTTCCTTCATAACTTAATTAAGACTTTATTTCCCATACTCCGGATTTTCTTTGTCTCTACAATCTGTGTTCACTCCTTGAAGACTTTTTTCCCTTCTTTAGGTCAATTTTCACAACTTTAGTTTTGTTTACACTATTTAGGATTTTCTTCCCTTATGTAGGCTTATTTTTACCTTATTTAGGATTAACTTCTTTTAACATAATAACAACCTGGAAGTGCTTCAATACTTATACGCGTCCTAATGAATCAAGACAAATTTCGACTGAAGTAATTGGTTGCAGCTAGAAGTAACGACTGACCATTGTAGAACTTTTCAGGCTTACAGCTGCTGAAAGAAACCCAAACATTTGCCAGCAAGAATCAGAAAGATGCGTCGGAATCATTCATTCAATCATCCTTAGTAAGAGATCGTCTCTGAAGGTTAAATCAACAAAGTTTCTACCACCAGGATACTCGATGATTTATTGCTCACAGAGAACCGTTCTCAATCAGCAAGTTTTCCTGAGATTTGCACAGCCTTGTTATTGTTGTTGACAATACAAGTAATGACTGCTCGTGTAGAATGGTCTTTCTCAAAGCTAGAAATTCTTTTAAAAAAAATTATGGCGAAGCATCAAGAGTCAGCAGCGATTTTATAGACCAGCACTTCTGTCACCTGAACAAGGTCTTGTCCATCAGTTGAACTTCAGCGAAATCATAGATCAATTTTCTTTAATAGAATATTGATAAGTTTTATGTAAACCTGTCTGAAACTCTTCAGTATTTTTGCTAATATTGATTCACTGACCTTGTACGATGTGAAATATTCATTAACATCAATCATGAAAACAATGAAGTTTTATAATGATAATTTAAAATATTCAACATATAAATCAATCTCAAACTCTGTTTACATTTGCTAACACGGATTTCATAATGCTTTGAAATATAAACTGAACTCCATCTAGCGGAAAATAAATTCATATTGAAAATCCTAACCCTTCCTGCTCATCCATTATATTTGATTAATTAGACAGTGACGCTTAACAGGCTCTTCATATTTTAGCTCCAAATTAACCATAAACGTTGTTAGTTTGGGAGGGGCTCAGGCCTCAGGGGCCCATCAGTAACACTTTGCCGCGGGCCTTTCTACTCCTTGTTGTGTCACTGCGTTTCAGGAAAACTCCGAGTCACTAGTGATCTATTTGGTGGAAAATCCATAAAAACATTATTTTCCTGGGCAATACACAGGTAAGCCTTAAACATGTTACAAAATAAAACAGATACTCGTAAACTAGATACTGGATCTACCTCTCCATTACCTGTAGTTGTTTGTCCCTCCCGCTCACTAGCGAATGCTTCGAATTAATACTTCCGAGTTTTGGGTTCACACCTCAGGGAGAGAGGAGTGGGAAAGCTAAGTGGTAAACGCGAGAGTTGAGCCAACTGTAGTCACCTCAAAAAGTTCGTGTCCTTAGCAATCAGAATGAACGGCTAGAGTGAACCCTGTGAGTCCTTTGGTTCAGTTTCGAGTTTCAATCCATAGATGGAGCTTCTTACAGCTCGAATTACACACACCGCGCCTGGTATAGTTGCCGGGAGTGTCCCAACAGGTGATGCTGATCATGCCCGGCGACTTTATACACAAAAGCATTTACGGGCCTGAATTTCTTTGTTTACCCCGGAACTGGAGTTACAATCTCCGATCGGTATTTTCAAAACAAATATTTGGCAGTGGATATAGCAAGTCGCTATTTCCCGATAGCAAAATTAATAATACATGTTATAATAATTCTTGTTAGACTTGTTTTATCATAGAATAATGAAGAAAATGTTTTGTATATCAACATACTAAAATACGATATTACGTGAAGAGGCTTCAGTGTGTTTCTATTTGTCGCGGAATGGAAGAGATGAGCTTTTGTCTTCTGACAATTTTCCACGTAATTTGTATCAAAATAGAATATTTGTATTGTCCACATTTATGGTACAAATATGTTTTATGACTGAGTAAACTTGCAGATAGACCTTATTAATGTGGTATAGCCGTAGATATCCGTCAGTAATGAAAGCCTACTGTACACTCCGCCTTCTTGTTATGGATAGGACCAAGTTATAGCAAGCCATTCTGCCAAGTATCCAAGAAGTGCCCATGACTCATAGTGAAATAATTTCTAATCCAATCTAAGTTCATCTAACCTAATAAAAAGAGGGTAAAAATTAACAGTGGTATTGCATTTTTTTTCTAAGAAAAAGAATTATGTTCATATGTTTTTTTATCCGATACATTCAGTAGTGTCCTCAAGTATTACTCAAACATAATTCCATCTTCACTAATGACGCTTTAAGTACGTCTAGCAACTATCACGCGCGTCGATCTCGGCTAATTTCTCCTTCTCTTGTGATTGGTTGATTATTTTGTGAACTGAGCGACGATTGGCCAATTAGCTCATGCACTGCCATCTACCTTCGGACAAGAGAACTTTATTTAGTGGGTTAACACAGATTTACAGACTGCTTATGAACCCGTAGTTCAATTTTGAGTATGATAAATTTATGGGACTATAAGGAGTCGGGAAGTTATGGTACTGTATCTCTGCTACTATACGTAACTGATGAGGTGTTTTGAGAATGCGTCCCCATCATCTCAGTGGGCCACATGGGTTCTAGATTAACGTATCAAGTATTTAGTAAATTCAAAGAAAGAGATACAATAGAAGTCTTCTCACAGTGATGAGACAGGTTCATTGAACCCATGAAGCTCCGACACCTGCTTTGAGGTGTTTTGTGAATCACTGTCATGAATCACGACGGTCAGTTCCGTTGTTGTTGTCGTCGCGTTAAGAAGTGTCACAGTGAAGTGTCGCAAAGTGTCATCGCGGATGAGGGAATATAATATCAAGAGGTAAGTGGCTGTCAACACGGGTTGTATTTGTTGAGGTTAATGTGTTAAATATGAGGTTGTACAGTGAGGACGTAGTTGTTGTGGGCCAGAGCTGACACAACCAACTGCTAAAACTATATAACATAACTTTATTCCCCTTCACAAAAAGCTCTTACCAATCATTCCATAAAAAAAAAATGCATTTCACCTAACTTGAAGGAATACATAGACATATTTTTATAGTTCGGGAGTCTTACGTCTTCGCTAACTGAGTAAATTACCTTTACCTCCCGTGTTGACGATCAAGATCACGTTTGTTATATTAATCGGCTGTATGCAAGACCATTTAGCTTGAGATGTTCCTATGGGGACTGCCCACGTTTTCCTTTCAAGAAGCGTAGTGAATTCTCAAGGTGTGAGCAATGCACATGGATATTACTGGAATAATCGTGAGAAGGGGGTGGGCGCCTTAAGCAAGCCCTAGGGTAAATCAATGTTGACTATTAACATTACAATTCCAAATATGTTGTAATGCTTCTAGTCTAGTCGAAAAAAATATTCATACAATAGAATTTTGCTGATGGACAAGGACGGATATGGAGTTTAGAAATTTATTCTCTACCCCCAAAATTTTATACTTTACGTTTGTTTACCAAAAATCAGACCGCCAAATTTGAAACCCATCTGCAGTCGACAACAGCAAATCTCAGCTTATCTCAGTTGTATTTCTGATAGATATATGAGTATTCAATGAGGTTAGTTCAAACCAATATAGAACAGCAAATCGCTTGCTATTGGAATATTTTGCATATTCATGAATCTAGAAATATCCCTTCAGTTTTGTTGATGTCTTTAGGCTTACTCTAATCTAACACTCGCATGTGTGAACTCACGTGCCGCAAATACAGAAGACAATTGATAATTCTATTGATTTAGTATAACTTTAATGTATTTTTATTGCCCATAATTAACATTACAGCATGGGTTGTTTGACGCACTCGAGGAAAATATATCTTTAGTTGTCAATATTTTTATTGGTGATATATGAATCAGATATTATATCCGAAATTAATTAAATATTTCAATACTTATTGCATATTAGCCAAGGTCAGGGTTTAAAAAGTGCTGATGCTGAAGTCTTCACTCTACCTCACACTCACATGTGGACTTATTCATCAGCAGTATACAAGATTTGTACTTTGTACAATACATTATATATGATAATTTTATTGAATGGCATCCTAAATTCGTCCCAAGCCATTTCTTCCCGATGTTACTGGGCTCAAGTCGTTTATCTTGAATGATTGCTC